GAGTCTACGGGCATACACGTATGTCCTATGTAAGCTGGTGCGCATGGAGGCCAGAAGAGAGTATTGGATCCTCTGGAGCTAGAGTTGAAGGAGGTTGCGAGCCACCTGACATGGGTGCTGGGATCCAAACACTGGTTCTGTGGAAGAGAAGCAAGTGCTCTTAATTACTGAGCCATCTCTGTAGGCCACCACTACTCTCCTTTACCATCCCACTCTACACAGCCTGGCACCACTGCGTACACTGTAAATCTTTTCATTGGCTAGGTAGGTGAGTGGATGAATAACTGACCATCTCTATCATAATAACAAAAATATCCCTAGATTAAAAAAAAAAAGCAAATGAGGGATTACAGCTAGCTAGTACTGTAGAAAATTCAATAGTACCCCCCTCTCTCTCTCTCTCTCTCTCTGATAGGGTTGTTCTCAATGTTGGTTTTCAGAGAACACTACTATTTCTTTTCTTTTTTTTTATTTTATGTGTATGCGTGTATTGCCTGCATGTATGTAAGTGTGCCCGTGTCATGCAATGCCCTCAGAGAACAGAAGAGACTGTCGGATCCCCTGGAACTGGAGTTACGGATAGTTGTTAGCTGTCATGTGGGTGCTGGGAATCGAACCTGGGTCCTCTGCAGGAGCAGCCGGTGCTCTTAACTGCTGAGCCATCTCTCCAGTGCCTCTTTTTTCTTTTTTAAGACAGACTCTCATGATATAGCTCTGGCTAGCCTGGAACTCATTGTGTACACCAAGCTGGCCTCAAAGATATGATTCCCCCACCCCATCTCTTGACAGCTGAGATTACAGGTATATACTACCACACCCAGCTGCTCTTTTGATTTTTCAAGAGAAACCAGAAAAATATTTTCACATGTAGTCTCCCATTTGGAACTGTTAGCAGTTAATATGAAAATCTGTTGTGATCTACAAAGACAGAATGTAAATTAGTAGTTGCCTCGGACTGGAAGAAAAGACACAGCTGATGCAGAATGATACTGATGGGTACAAGGGCCTCTTGCAGTGATGAAAAAGTTCTACAGTTAATTACAATTTAGTAGTCAGATGGGCTATATTGTGAAACCCTGGTTGTATATAATTCTGAATATACCACAAACCATTGAATTATGCCATACCTGGAGTAAATTATATATGGTATGTGAATTTTATCTCTAAAGTTTTTGTCTTTTTTTTTTTTAAAGTACTTTCTGGACCAAACAAAAGTCTTTAGGTCAAAATAGACCACCAGTTAACAACTTGAGTCCTAGAATCAGTGGCCCAACTCTTTCAGAATCCAATTTTCACTTGTTGAAGACCACAATCCTGTTTCCCAGCACATCAAATAACTGGAAGTGCTTAGGATAAAATTTGTTGAAGCCACAAGCCCTACAGCCCACTGGTGCTGGGTGAGCTTGTTGAGGGAGTTGCTTATTGTTTGTCTGCATCGAGAGAATGGTCAGTGATGGCTAGGAGTCCTCATAAATCGAATATTTCATGAGAACACTTTTTCAAGAAGCCTCTATAGGGCATTTGTTCATTTCCTTTGCTGAAATGAATAACAGAGTGGCAGCTCATCTGCCATATACACAGTTCCTCATTATAAATGCTGCTAAGGAGCTGGATGGTCCTTTTGTGTGCTCTGAGGTGTGGCTTACAGAGCACAGCAGCTCAACCACCTCCCTTCCCACTGATTCTTTGTCCAGCTGTTGGCTGCAGGCCTGTTGGGGGCTACAGGGGCAAGCTGGGTCTGGTTGTTCCACATGCATTATTTTCTTGCTGGCACCACCTCTGCCCAGGGCTGCTGGCATTGCACCTGCTCAAGCAGGTTCCCTAATTTAGACTTTATCTGCCAAGTTTTTGCCTTTGATTCTAACTTGAGGCAGCCAGCATATTTTGAGTGTCTAGCAAGTCAAATATTGCTGATAGGTGTGTAAGGTCTCTGATCTCAAGGAACTTGGAATGAAAGAGACAAAAAGAGGAACCCCAAATTCAAATAGAAAGCAGAATGAGATGGTGATTTGCTACAAAGGAGGAGAATCACCTCTAAGTGGGTCATTCAGGAGAAAGCCATATTTATTTTTGTTTTTGTTTGTTTTGAGACAAGTCTCACTGTGTAGCTCTGGCTGACTTGGAACTCACTATGTAGACCAGGCTGGCTTCAAATTTACAGAGGTCTTCCTGCCTCAGTCTCCAAAGTTCTGGGGTTAAAGGCATGTGCCACCACACCCATCCTAAGGCATGATATTTGAAATAGTCCTGTTATTTATTTTTATTTTATGTGTATGAGTGTTTTGCCTGCATTTATGTAAGTGCATTCATGTTGCAATGCCCACAGAGGTCAGAGGAGGGCATTGGATCCCCTGGAACTGGAATTATGGACTGTTATTAGGAATTGAACCCAGGTCCTCTGCAAGAGCAACCAGTGCTCTTAACCTCTGAGCCATCTCTCCAGGCTTATTATTTTCTTGCTAGAAAGAACAAAGAGGAATAAATGAATCTGACATTGTTTTGCTTCTTTCTTTGGAGACAGGGTCTCACTAGGTAGCTCAGACTGGTCTGAAACTCTGGATCTTCCTTCCATTGCTTCTAATTGGAGGGGTTTACAGGCATGTGCCCCCATCAGGCTTAATCTGATATCTGATATCTTTTTTTTTTTTTCAATTTTATGTGTATGCGTGTATTGCCTGCATGTAGGTAAGTGCACCTGTGTCGTGCAGTGCCCGCGGAGGTCAGAAGAGACTTGGATCCCCTGGGACTGGAGTTACAGACGGTTGTTAGCTGCCATATGGGTACTGGGATTCAAACCTGGGTCTTCCGCAAGAACAACCAGTGTTCTTAACTGCTGAACCATCTCTCCAGCACCCCCTCCCTTTTTTTTTTTTTTTTTTTTTTTTGAGGCAGGATCTCCCTGTAGCCCTAGCTGGCCTGAAACTGGCTATATAGAACTGCCTGACCGCCATCTCACAGAGATTCACCTGCCTCTGCCTTCCACGTGCTGGATTAAAGGTATGCACCACCACACCTGGCTCTGATCTAACATCTTAATCTGCCTTGTTAGCCATACTCTTGTCCTTTTGCTTGTAAACTAAAAACCAAACATCCTAGAAAACAATCTCTTAAAAATATTCAGGTCTGCCAAGCGTGGTAGCGCACGCCTTTAATCCTAGCACTTGGGAGGCAGAGGCAGGTGAATCTCTGTGAGTTCAAGGCCAGCCTGGTCTACATAGTGAGTTCCAGAACAGCTGGGGCTACAGAGAGACCCTGTCTCAAAAAGACCAAAAAAAAAAAAAAATTCAGGTCTGTGGGCTGGAGAGATGGCTCAGTGGTTAAGAGCACTGACTGCTCTTGCAGAAGACTGGGGTTTGATTCCCAGCACCCGCATGGCACCTGACAACTGTCTGTAACTCCAGTTCCAGGGAATCTGATGCCCTCTTCTGGCCTCTGTGGGCATTGCACACATGTGATACACTTACATATATGAAGGCAAAACTTTCATACACGTAGGGAAAAAAGTAAAAAAAAAAAGAAAAAGAAAGAAAGAAATTCAGGTCTGAAACTGAGCATGGTAGCATATGCCTGTAAGCCCAGCACTCAGGAGGTAGAGGCAGGGGAATCAGAAGTTTGGGGTCATCCTCAAGTGCAGAACAAGTTTGAGGCCAGCCTGGGATATGTAGACCCCTGTCTCAAATAAATGAATGAATGAATGAATCCTAGTCTAAAGTAAAAGTCTCTTCTTTAGTTGTTTTCAACCTCTGCCAGGAAATACAACTAGTCTGTTGGCATCCTGGTGAAGACAGTGAGCAGTTGTTGGAAGCATGAGCTAACAAGTTCCTTAAGTCTTTTGCACAGGGCTGTTCCTACCCATCCACACCAGTCTCAGAACCCTGGGTGTGCAATAGAATTCCCCCTCCCTCCTAGTCTTTGAGCTCACTTTACAGCCCTACCTTCCCAGGCACCTTGTTCTTCTGCCCAGACCAATGAGCTTGCACATTGTCTCATTTGCTTTCTTGTGCTGCCAGTGATGCTGGTTCTCCCCATATTACTTTCCCAGTCCTTCAGCCACTTCTCACTACACCCCCTCCCCTGTCCTGTCATGCCAGAAGCAGGATAGTCTCACCACCACCACCATCACACACATACACACACACACACAAACACCCATCTATAGAGGCGCAGGAAGGGAGCCAGGGGTGTACCAGAAAGCCTTTGGTGCAAAGATAACTTTGGCTACTTTGCATCACCTCCTGTATTCACTGCTTGCTGTGTGGCTTCTAGAGTATCATGCTCTACCCCTGGAGAAGTGGTCAGCTGCAGACCATGGCAGGTAGAAGGGCAAGGGTATCAGGTATGACAGTACTCTGGTTAAGGAGGGAAAGAACAGGGTGTAGCTGTACATAGTTGATATCAGTGTTTACATTGATTGGGCCCTGGAAGGAATGAGCAATACTAGTTAGAAAGGGGGTTCTATGCCGGGCGTGGTGGCAGGTGCCTTTAATCCCTGCCCTTTGTAGGCAGAAGCAGGTCGATCTCTGCAAGATCAAGGCCACCCTGTTTCACATTGTGACTACTTCCAGGCAGGCTGTGAGTTGGGAGACCCTGTCAAAAAAACAAGAAAAGGGGGGGCTTCTTTCATGATACTCCTTCAGCTAACATGCCAAGCACTGAAATAGGATTGTGGATCTTCTGTTCTCAGACAAGGTTTTAAGACTCCCTGCTCTTTATCATCAGGAGACCTAGAAGTGAAACAAAGACTAGTAAGAATAACAAAGCTCACAAAGCATAGTGCTTCTGTTTCTGCCATAAGAACCAGGCAGCATGCTGTGTCAGAGTCACTGCAAGATGGCTGTGAGGTGTGTCCTGGAGACAGAGAGTAAGAGCTACAGTGGGAACATGGGTGGAAGGCATCCCATGCTTTCCTCTGCCTCCATTCATGTATTTGAACTTATAGTTTCTCAACACTTGCCACTTCTCATATTTTCTGTTTTTTTCTTCCCCTTATTAATATTTTAAATTTTATTTTTTTTATTATTACTCTGTGTGTGTGTGTGTGTGTGTGTACAGGTGCACACATGCCACAGCACATATGTGGAGACCAGAGGACAACTTTGTACAGTCAATTCTCTCCTTCCACCTTTACATGGGTTCTGGGGATCTAACTTAGGTCTTTAGGCTTTGTACAGCAAACACTTTACCCACTGAGCCATCTCACCAGCCCTGTTACCATTATTTTTAATGCCTAAAGTAATAAAGTAGAAGACTAAAGGAAAATGAAAGATACATTGAGGGTATAGTGAAAGTCCTCATCACTTCCAATCTCCCTTCTCTTCCTGGATGTGTATTTACCTTTTCCTAGGCTTCTGCCTAGATGTATATTACTGTTCAAATATAAGGTCTCTCAGCTGGTTGTGGTAGCACGCACCTTTAATCCCAGCACTCAGGATCCACAGGCCAGCCTGGTCTACACAGTGAGTTCCAGGCCAGTCATGGCTGTAGCCTCTCACTATGTGTAGTGAGATTGTCTTTTTAAAAAAAGTATATATATATGGAAATGGAACCATATATATCTTTTCTTCGTTTAGTAACAGTTCTCACTTCTCTTTCTCCTCAGGGATCCGGTGTGATTAAAGCTGGTTTTGCTGGTGATCAGATCCCCAAATACTGCTTTCCAAACTAGTAAGTCGTTCTGAGGCTTAGTTGGGACTTCAAGAATCTTGTCAGCTTTGTCATGTGACCAACCCTTCCTCTTTGAGGAGGAGGAGGAATTCTCTTTCAGGTCAGCCCCAGTACCTAAAATATTAGCAAAGGACCTGAACTGGTTTTGGAATAGCAAAGGAATTAGAAACTAGTATAATTTACTCAGAGCTGATATAATTTGAGAGGTACAGGGAAAAGCCCCTTTTTTATTTTTATCTATTATTGTATGCATGTGAATATTTGCATGATTGGGGGGTGCATGCCATAGTATATGTGTGGAGGTCAGAACACAACTTTGTGGAATCAATTCTCTGCACCTTTAGGAGGGTTCTATGGATCCAACTCAGGTCACAGGTTTACTTAGCAAGTGCCTTTACCCACTGAGCCATCTCTCTAGCCCTCTTTTTTTTTTATTTTATTAATGTTTTATTTATTATTTTTATTTTATGTGTATGAGTGTATTGCCTGCATGTATGTGAGTGCACCCATGTCATGCAGTGCCTTGGAGGTCAGAAGAGGGCATTGGATTCCCCCAGAACTGGAGTTAAGGACAGTTCATAGCCTCCATGTGGGTGCTGGAAATGGAACCCGGGTCCTCTGCAAGAGTAGTCAGTGCTTTTAACCACTGAGCCATCTCCCCAGCCCCGTGCCCTCTTTTTTTTAAAAAAATAAAATAAAAAATCTGATGCTATAAATCTTATCCTTGGTGACTCACTGCTTCCTAGAGCCTCTTAATTTTTATTTTTTGAAACAGAGTCTCCCTATGTTTCCCAGATTGCCTCAGCCCTCTGTTCAAATAGTCATCTACCTAGGCCTCCTAAGTAGCTGGGACTCTAGCACGTGCCACCACTGTCAGCCAGAAACTCTTTTCAAAACTCATTATTGCCAGGCCAGTCAGATGGCTCAGCAGCATGTAAAGGTACCTGCCACCAAGCCCAGCAACCTAAATTTGATCCCCAGGACTGAAATAGTAGAAGGCGATAACTGACTCCTGCAAATTGACCTCTAACCTCCACATGTGTGTACGCATGAGTGCATGTGTTTGTGCATGCACACACACTAAAATACAAAAATTTTTTTTTTTTCGCCTATTGCCCAGGATTAAGTTTAACATCAAACCATCTTACGATTATAGAATGAGTTTCTCAGAGCTTTCCCCTAAGGAGGAGATTACGGGAAGGAGATGTCATGAAGGCCTAGGGAAGGTCCTTAAGTGGAAAGAAAAGGAAGAAGGCTCTCTGTCTAGGTGACAGCACCACAGTCTCACTTAGAAGTCCTGGGACAGGAGCTAAGGAGGCTAAAAGATGATTTGTACGTGTGTGTGTGTGTGTGTGTGTGTGTGTGTGTTGCTAGTGTTGAAATTCATGGCCATATTCATGCTAGGCAAGTGCTCCACCTCTGAGCTATACCCTAGCACCTAAAATAAATATTTTTTTAGTTAATCATTCATTTGGAAATTCTTCCTTTCTTTTCCCATCTTTTAAAAAAATATTTTATTTATCTGGGCATGGTGGCACATGCCTTTAATCCCAGCACTTGGGAGGCAGAGGCAGGTGGATCTTTGTGAGTTTGAGTCCAGCCTGGTCTACATAGTGAGTTCCAGGACAGCTGGGGCTACAAGGAGACCCTGTCTCAAAAAAAGACAGAAAAAAGAAATTTTTATTTATAGCTAGATGTGGTGGCGTACACCTTTAATCCCTGTCTTAAAAAGACCAAAACAAAATTTATTTTTTGCCTTTTTTAAAACTTTTTAAATTTTTAAAAAAA